ATCGTTATTAACGCTGTTATTAATGCATTTGTCATTTTTTATGGACAAATTTTAGGATATATGGATTCTTTAAAGGAGTTTCTGAAAAAATGGAAATTAGAGCATTTATTTGCTATATTTGAAGGTAAGAGACATTTACCTAATACACCTGTTTAGATAATGCATGCGTGACTATATATAGAATAAGAATATAGGTATCGATTTTTTTATGCAAATAATTACAAAAATTTTAGCAGTCGTCGTATTAAAAAATTCAAAATGTGAAAAGCTTATAATTTTAATAAGTTATTCGCTTTATTTTGATTAATCGTGATGTAACATTTTTTTGTAATTTGTAGAGTGATGAACCACCCCAAAAAATACCAAGGAGTGAAGAAGCAGAAATAACTACTATCGAGGAAAATAATATCACTTTACTTACTACAGACCAGGAAAACCTAAATTTATCAGAAAATAATATACCTCGTAATATGCCTGTATATGCCTGAATATGATGTATAGACTTCTCTTATATCAAAATAAATTTTAGTTGAGTCAATAGTATTTGCTATTGGTTTAAGAAAAGTGTCTCTTTAATCAAGAAATGTCCCTTTTCAATCAAGAATTTTTGCATGAATCAAAGAGACTATTGTTCTTGTAGCAAGAACTTCTTTGCATATTAATTTTGGGTCAAGAGTGAAATACTTTTGACAGATAGATTCTTCTATTCTCTAAAGAAATTTTTTAAAGCTTATGAAAAGATAGTTAATGCTTTGGACAAAGAAACGTCGTTCTTGGCCCTATTGAAAAGCGCCAATCTTTTGGGTCATTTCACACCAATCTTTTTGGTATTTCAGTATTTTAGTTTTTAATCGAGCATTTTTTAAAACTATAAAACACTCAGGTACGGGGTTTGTGTTATATATCGCTGTTTTGGGTAGTAAACATTAAGTGAAAATGAACCCTAACTGGGCGTCGCTTTGTGTTGTGACAACTTCAAATGTTCATTATGTGGTTGTTAATTTTTTTTACATTTTGAAAAAATTTGTCAAATCCTGGGAGATAAACCAACCCAGTGAGCAAAGTTTTGTCACATTTAGAAAACATTAGGGAACAGTTACGTAGCTGCGTTTTATTCATTTTTATCAGGCAAAAGAAGGGCCTGGTAACATTACAACGCGCGACGTCACTTAGAACACATTGCCTTTAAAGGAATAAAATACTCACTGGGAAGGACCAGTACTGGACACTAGAGATGAGCAAAACTGCGATTCTCCAATTGCAATAGAAATTGCGATTGCGATTTTTAAATCGCTGCGACTGTAACCTGCGATTGCGATTTTAATATTCAAATATTGTACTAGGCATTCTACTCAGAGTGTCATTTTCTATCGAATAAAGTAAAAAAATACCGAGGGTGCCATTTAAAAATCAAAAGTTGTAATAATTTCCGGTGAAACAGGAAGCGATGGAAACGAACTGAATACGTCAATCAATCCTAATTTATGTCATATGCTTACATACCTAATAATAAAAATAATAAATCTCGTTTTTTTATCAGAAAAAATAAACAAGTTATAGAGGCGAATCACTCTTGATAAACACCCGGTACGTTATGATCTTGACCCTAGAAATATAATACCTTCTCTATAAATAACTAAAATCAGAGGAAAAAATCAATCACAGTTTACTATAGAATGCTGTAATGGAGCCAATCGCAGGTTGCGATTGCAATTTTAAAAGCTCTGCGATTGAATCGCAGTTTGCGATTTGTTGCTCATTTCTACTGGACACCTCGCAGCAACGTTCTGGAAAATAATTTTAAGTGCGAAGAACAAGAACGCGAGAACTCAACGAGCAGAAATTTAAACTCAAAAGACCACTGGAAATGAAGTTTGTCCATCAACCACTACTTTAATATTTTTTTCAAATTGCAACATTAAAATTAAAATGAACTTAAAAAGTTATATACAGGGTGGGCCACTGAAAACTTACAATAGCTATAATTCTTAAACCAAAAAAGATATCAAAAAAATAAAAAATACCGTTTCTATAATATCGAGGGGGAATACATATGACGTATTTTTTGAACCACCCCGACCTACCCCTTAGGCGGCACCCCTACTCACTTGAAAATCTGAAATGGCAACACCCCACTTGTGGCGCTTTTTTAGAAAACCCATGAAAAATGCTAAACGATGATCATAAAGTTTTTAGGGTGAAATTGAAAAACTACCCCTTACACGAAAAATTAGGTGGACATTAATAAAAAAAAAGTGATTTTTCAGCATAAGTTACAAATTGGGACCCTAGCTTAATGAGGCAAATGAGGTATTTTTAAACCAACCCGACCCACCCCTATGTGCCACCCACTCACTTCTAATCTCAAGATAGCCATACCCCACTTGTGACACTTCTTTGGAAAGCTAATTGAAATTGCTAAACGATGGTCATACAGATTTCAGCTTCTGTCTTCTTTCAACAATTATTACTGGTAAGTAGTGATAAGAAATGTAGGTGTGACAATTTGAAAGAAATTTAAAATAATTTATTTTAACAATTGCTCAAAATGACAGCCGTTTTGTTCCATACAAAAATACAAACGATTTTCAAATTTTTCTCTCACTTTTTGGAAAGTCTCGGAATATTTCGACATGCTTCAGTTGTCCTCTGCTGCAATTCTTGCAACGAACCTGGTTTTGTCTTGTAGATTATGCATTTAGTGTAACCCCACAAGATAAAGTCTAAAGGAGTGAGATCAGGTGACCTTCGCGGCCACTCGATTGGACCCCTTCTGCCAATCCATTGCCTTGGATAATATCTATCCAACCACCGCCTTGTGACAATAGAATAATGCGGAGGGGCTCCATCTTGCTGAAAGTGTATGAGGTCTTCATTAAGAGTTAAATTTCCTTCCAAATCTCTTTGATTTTCAACCTCATTTAAAATGGCCGGCTCTATCAAATTGTTCAGCATTCCCACATAAGCATCACCAGTCAAATTTCCGTCGATGAAAAATGGACCTATAATTTTATCGCCTAGTATTCCGCACTAAACATTGAGCTTTCGGGGATGTTGGGTGTGTCCTTCAACAACAATATGCGGATTCTCATCGCTCCAGTATCTGCAGTTCTGCTTATTCACAATTCCGTTTAAAAAAAATGAGCACTCATCACTAAAACAAATATTTTTTGTAAGTGAAGGTTCCCTTCGAATTTCCTCCGTCATTAGTTCACAGAACTGAATCCTTCTATCTGGATCGTCGTCGCCAAGTTCCTGCAGAATCTTCATTTTGTAGGGATGGAATTTGTGCATTTTCAATACTCTCCTGACAGATGTTCGAGGTATACCTGTAATTGATGCCAACTGGCGTGTTGATGCTTCTGGATTGACCGATACCTGACCAATAACTTCCATCTGCATTTCTTCAGTCAGTACCCTGGGCCCTGTCCTTGTTTTATATTTGACCGATCCAGTTTCTTGAAACTTTAAAATCAAATCTCTAACATAAACGTGACTTACGTTTTTGTCCGGATTTCTTTCATTGAAAGCACGGGCCGTTCTCAAATAACACATACCTTCAGCACCATAAAGAAAAACTATTTGAATTCTTTCTTCCACAGTAAAAACCATTTTTCTTTCAAATAAGCGAATCAAATAAACGTTTAAAATACCACCAAATTTGCAAACGATTGAAAATCGATAGAAGACAGTGCAAAAACGCAAAGATATGCCGATTTAAGATGTTTGTTGAAAGTAAAAAAATAGATGATAAGGAAGAATTTGCGTTTGTGTTGTGAAACATCTTTGTGTTGCCTTTTTTATTATCTACATTTAAAAATGGCATTGATGAGATGAGAAGTGAGGAGATGGTACCTAGGGATGGGTCGGGGTGGTTTAAAAAATGCCTCATTTGCCTCATTTAGCTGGGTTCCAAATTGTAACTTATGCTGAAAAAATTACTTTTTTCATTAATGTCCACCTAATTTTTCGTGTAAGGGGTAGTTTTACAATTTCACCCTAAAAACGTTATGATCGTCGTTTAGCATTTTTCATGGGCTTTCCAAAAAGGCGCCACAAGTGGGGTGTTGCCATTTAAGATTTTCAAGTGGGTAGGGGTGCCGCCTAAGGGGTAGGTCAGGGTGGTGCAAAAAATACGTCATATGTATTCCCCTTCGATATCATAGAAACGGTATTTTTTATTTTTTTGATATATTTTTTGGTTTAAAAATTATAGCTATTGTAAGTTTTCAGTGGCACTCCCTGTATATAAAAAACATAAAAGTGCCACTGTTAGTGATAATATTATTATGTAAATTACTGTAAAATCTTTTTGATAAACATTTAAATAAGAATTTCGATAAAATTCGATCGTAGAAAAAATGTTGTGTGTAACATGTGCAAAAAGCATATTTGTTGCACTCAGCATGATTAAAAAAACTCATCGTCGTGCAACAAATATATATGTCCTTTTTGCTCTAGTTACACTAATAAGTATCTTCATGCTTAGAAAAGTAATAAAAGTGCTTACTTATGTGCCTAGGCGTTAAAATGACTTTTTTATATTGTCAAACACGTCACAAAAATTAATACTTTTGTGACGTTTTGTCCCCTTAACATTATAATTAATTAAAAAAAAAACTATTTATCAAAAACGAAGAGGATAATTCTCGTAACAGAAAATATAGCCCATTTGCAATTTCACCACAAAATTATCACCCATATTTTATTCGAAAAGTGAGAGCACTTAAAAGTTGCGAGAATTCATTAAAAGTCGAATTTAACAACGGAATATTCTCTCCGCGCCTGGGAATTATAAATAAAATCCCCTTTTTTTGACTACGCGCCTGTTCAATTGCACTTGATACCCCTCAAATCGCGCTAATAGCAAAGTGGAACGGCAAACAAAACAAACAAGCACAAAAAACCGGGATGAGAGAGATAGAGGAGATAGCGATAAAGGCAAAAAGCGAAAAAAGAACTTTATATATAAAGGGTTTTTTAACCGAAAAATGTTTTTCCTAATCAGATGGAATGGAAAGAGGTGGCAGTAGGTGTCGGGATAAAGGGATACGTGGTAAAGTGTATAATAAAGTGAAGATGAGACGGTATAAAGCCAATGCCAGAGAGAGGAACAGGATGCACGGGTTGAACGCCGCGCTGGATACGCTGAGGAGGTATTTTTTCTTATTATTTTTTCTTCTCATGCTCTAACTTTAAAAAATGTAAAATACGGTTACCTAGTCCACATTTGACATTTATATGGTTAATTACTTTTTAAGAAGTAACAATACACATTTTATTTTATTTTATTTTTATATTTAGTTACATTTACATATTTTATATTACTTACTAACGAATATGTTGTGAAAAAATAAAATTGATTTTCACAACATATTCGTTAGTATATGTTGTGAAAATCAATTTTATTTTTTCCTGTCGTTGCTTTTTAGAAAATCAAAAAACTAATTGCACATTCTCATAGCCACTTTATTAGGGCTATTTGATAGTGTTTTTAGATTCTCAAATTAACTGATAATTTGTGAGATACAGAAGCCAACTTCAGCCCCATACTCACACTTCGCTCCTTCGTCCCTTCCTCGCGTTACTTCGTCACTTTACTTCGTTCCTTCGTCCCTTCGCTTCCTTCCTTCGTTCATTCGATGCTTGGAAATTAGTCGATTATGCAACAACACAGCACAAAATATTTTTAATATTGCAGCTACATGTTTATTACGAAATATCTAGTAACCTCTAAAATTTAAAAAAAAATCCGTAAGGCGCATAATTTCTATTTTATAAAACTTTTATAACAATTCTTTGTCGTGTCAAAAATAAAAATTGAATTTTAATAATATATATTTTTTTTAATAAATCCGAATATTTCAGTATCATATACAAGGTATATCAGTATGAATGTACAAGGCGAGTCAACAATAGAGTAAAGTTTATTATGTAATTTATATCGAAACTATGAAATATGACATACTAATTAAACGTTGATGTCAATCCCCATTTCTTCAGATATTTTTGTTAAGGCATCATGCACACTATTTCTATTTTTTTTTTATTTTTGTCGCTACGATTACATTACGATTACTACGAAATATGGACATGTATTTTTTCACAAATATGAAGACAATATTGTTTTTTTCTTCCATTTTTTAGACTACTGTGTGTGAATTATTTTTATATCGACTGGCGATTACTAGATGTACAGGATGTCCCATTTTTGTGTGTTTTATGGGGTTTCTGGTTTATGAGTAGAGATATAAAGATGCCGTTTTCACATCATTGTTCTACTTATTATGAAACTAAATATGCTACACACAGATTTATCCTAGCCTTCTTAGTTCAAAGTTATTTCTTATTTCTTTCTTTTACTTTTTTTTTAATTAGTAGAAATTTTTGCATTTTTTGATAACCTTTGTATCTCGATTATCTTATAACTTATCGAAAAGGTGAAAAGGATCAGTGATGGGCGGTGGGTAAGTACACAATTTGTAGATAAATAAAACCTGGGTATACATATATGTAACCTACCTGTAGATTTAGATGAACATCCTAATTTTAATAAAAGGAGTTTCCGTCAACCGCATAGTAAATACCCGGTATAATACCGGGAATAGAAATATACCAATATATATATATATATATATATATATATATATATATATATATATATATATATATATATATATATATATATATATATATATATATATGTGGTCCGAACTGTATTCCGGAAACTTCGGCAGCATATTCTGCAGATTATTATTTATTATATATATATATATATATATATATATATATATATATATATATATATATATATATATATATATATATATATATATATATATATATATATATATATATATATATATATATATATATATATATATATATATATATATATATATATATATATATATATATATATATATATATCGTTCGGACCACCCTGTATAATAACAATTATAATAAAAAAGCAAAACGAAAGTGATTTTGCTACAAGAGTTGTTCGAAATGTTGAACGTCTTCTTTTATGCACAGAAGGGATAGTTTTTGAACATATTTATTAACTCAGTGGGGGTGAAAGATACCATCGCATAAACACTAAGTACTTCTAACTACTGGGATCTTGGTTAGCTATCAATTATTCTCAAAATTGGCTGCAAAAAAATCCTGATAATTTCAGCTTTGTGAGGTGGTGCTTCGTCTTGTTGATATTTATTGGTTAGTGATTGTGGTATTAAAATATCCACGGTGATTTTATATAAAATTATCTGCCCATTCACTCTTATCCTTCCTAAGTCCTCTTCAACATCCTTTTTTATCTGGTTCTCGGTCTACCCCTCCTTCTCTTTCCACCTATTTCACGTTTGAGTATTATAGAAACTCTTGCTTCAGCCATTCTTTCAATGTGTCCCAGCCATCTCAGTCTTTGTGCTCTTATAGCCTCTATAGCCTCAGTCTTTGTGCTCCCGATATAGCTGCTTTAATACCAGGTTAGTCCATCCTGAAGGAATGTTATATCTGTCCACATTCCTCGATCCATTTTGTTCACCTCGAATGGTTTGTGGTAGTGATAAAGAGGGGTCATCTGGTCCGATCTCATTTGGAGTAGAGGTCCCCCGATAGGATTTCCCATCTTTGAGTGTCCTGTTTCTGTCCTATTTCCCAAACCAATAACTATTTAGCCAACATGTTTAATTTGTTAATGATGGCATGTATTGATAATTTCAATTTCAAATATCTGGAGAACCATAACCTGTAGTGATTTTTACCAAGAGACCTTTTTTTATGTAGAATGTAGTTTTATGTAGTTTTTTTACTCAATAGTTTTATGCGGGTATGGACGAAAAGTTATAACTCTTCAAACCAGTTAAAGCATATGTAGGTGGCGCCCTCTACAAGTAGGAGTCATATTGACATGAAAATCCAGATTTCTCATGTCAAAAAACTCCCAGACACCAATTTTCATCCAAATATTGACGTTACTTCTTAAATTATTTGGAAAAAATCGAAATAAAAATGAAACTTCTACACCCTGTATCTCCGAAACTAAGCATTTTAGGACATACATTTATACGAACTTTTTTTACTTATCTTAATCTGCAGAATATGCTGCGGAAGTTTCCGGAATACCCTGTATAATAACAATTATAATAAAAAGCAAAACGAGAAGTGATTTTGCTACAAGAGTTGTTCGAAATGTTGAACGTCTTCTTTTATGCACAGAAGGGATAGTTTTTGAACATATTTATTAACTCAGTGGGGGTGAAAGATACCATCGCATAAACACTAAGTACTTCTAACTACTGGGATCTTGGTTAGCTATCCAATTATTCTCAAAATTGGCTGCAAAAAAATCCTGATAATTTCAGCTTTGTGAGGTGGTGCTTCGTCTTGTTGATATTTATTGGTTAGTGATTGTGGTATTAAAATATCCACGGTGATTTTATATAAAATTATCTGCCCATTCACTCTTATCCTTCCTAAGTCCTCTTCAACATCCTTTTTTATCTGGTTCTCGGTCTACCCCTCCTTCTCTTTCCACCTATTTCACGTTTGAGTATTATAGAAACTCTTGCTTCAGCCATTCTTTCAATGTGTCCCAGCCATCTCAGTCTTTGTGCTCTTACTACTCCCGATATAGCTGCTTTAATTCTTTATTTGTTCTTCTGGTCCATATGTTGTTTGTCTTCTTTCCACCAAAACTCTTCCTCAGTATTTTTACTTTCCCAAATCTCTAGCCTCGAACTTTCCGTTGCATTGAACGTCCAAGGTTCACATGCATACATCACTATTGGTCGTATCATTGTTTGGTACATTTTGATTATTAATCTTCTAGAGATGTTGTCACTCTTAATAATTTTCTGTAGTGCGCAAACACATTTATTTCCTGCCATTATTCTTGCCACAATTTCCTGAGTTATATTTGGTTTTCTTAGAAATACGGTTCCTAGATATGTGAAAGTATCTACTTCCGCAAACTTGTATCGTTTCCCTCTCTCAGAATCTATTTGTAGACATCTTCCCTTCCCAAAATCCCTATCTGACCACTTCATAAACTTAGTTTTCTTCTCATTGAACAATAAGCCTACTTTTTGCGCTTGATCTTCTAGTCTTTTGGTCACCGATATCAGCTCTTTCCGATCTCTTGCTAAGGTAACTAAATCATCTGCAAAGGCTAAGCATTGGTGTCTTTTTGTTTATAGAAGGCCCTCTCTGTTGGTTCCCGCATCTTTTATAACTTTTTCTGATACTACACTAAACAGTACTGGAGATAGTGGACCCCCTGTCTTAATCAGTCCCTGGCATTTTCCGTTATTTTCTTGTTTATTTTGACTTCATTTTCTGTCTCTTGGAGTGTTAAGTTTATTATCTTGGTCAGTTTCTTGCTAACCCCTAATTCTGTTAATGCTCTAACTTCTAAATACCTCAGTCCTTTTAACTTTGTCATAATATGCCTGCTTACTGTAGAGTGTATAAGTTAAATTTTGTGCGACATGACCATACTTTTGCATATCAAATATACAGGGTGCTACAAATTCGAGGTACGAGCATTGGTATCTCGGAAACCGTAAGAGATAGGAAGATGGTTAA